TTTTCTTTCTTATTGTTACTCGCTAAATCACTCTAAGCCTGTTTCACAGGCGTAGCCTCAACCTCCAAAACCTGCTCGACCTTGCAATTCAACTCGCAGGGACTGAGCGACGACCAAGGCGTGGTGACGAAGACTACTTTGTATGGCCCAAGGACACGTTAATCCTTTACCAACGTGAATTCTGCTTGCAGAAGAATGAGGCAGAGGCTGCTAGTGGTGCAGGGATTGGGACCGTAGAAATAATATAATATTCACTATCTTTTTGTATTAAATAATTAAATATAATTACATTTATTAATTATTTGATACAAAATTGCATGCAAAGCAGAAGCAATCTATCCAGATGCTTGTAATGACTTGTATATATTGTAAGAGAATACTATACTGTCAAAAAATAATAAGTATATTTTAACATTATTATTTTGGGAGGTATGTTATAATCACTTATATATCTTGACAATATGTACAATCATAATTAATAACAGTAATTCCAATAATTGTTCTAGATTCTTATTATACTTGCATTAAATTATAATTAACTTGTGAAAACCCCTATGAAGAATATAATTGCTTCAACAAAATTTACAAAAAGTATAAAATATACCTGGTTATAATCTAATACAAGTGTTGCGACTTTTTCGTGATGTATACCCATGTCAAGTGACATAAAGAAGACAAATTAAATGGGCTTACTAAACGCTTCGTTCTAATATTCGGTAGGAAATTCAGATTCATTGAGACATGAGCAATACAAGGTACACGCACTGGTCCACATGTAATCGCAGCTCTGCAACAGTACACTCCAAGTCGATCGACCTCTTTGACAGCAAAGCGCTGAAATTCGCCCAGTCCACATCAAATGAATTGAAGTCCGAGATGAGGCTGTCAAGTTCCATTTCAATCGAACGGTTTTCAGTTCCGTTTTTCAGCTCTTCAATCGCCTGTAGTATAGATGTTTTAGCACATGACAATCGACAAAAAAAGGTTCTCTATTTAAACCTTTTGATACCTTGTGAACTCGGCACGCTTAGCCTCCAGAGGAATTTCTGACTGTCTGAGGAATGGCACAAAGCTGCATAAGAAGTCTGGGAGAACATTAAACAATACTCAAGTATAACATGCTGGTCAAGTACCATCAATTGTCCGAGAAATTATGCTAGAAATTGTTCTAGTCCTGAGGACCAATTGAAAAAAGCGCTGAAGAAAGCGAGCATTAAAAGTCTAGATCTCTTTAGAACAAACATAATACACACCCTATCCAACCCATCCCATTTCGATCGCAGCACTGAAAGCTTCCCAGGATCAAGGGGAAAGGCCAAAGCGGCCAAAGCTTTCGAAATACTATCAAATTCGCTTTGTACATAACGTGTACATTGGCTCATGTCCGAGACTTGAGTAAGGAACAGTGTCGATGATTTGGCCCCTGTACTGTCGATGTCATGCTCCGAGAAAAATGCCCCGTTTTCACAGCTGTAGGCTGGTAAAGACTCAGCGAGTTTCAGAGTTTGAGCAAAAGAAGGTATGCAGCTAGACGTTGCCTCCATGGATTTTGTGGCCATAATCGTTACCGAGAAGAGGCTCACGGAGCAGGTAGCAAAAGTTGGTCAGACCACAGCTGAGTTGCAGTACGAGAGGTCAACGGAAACATGGTATCCGTAAGGTAACCTCATTGCAGCACATGCTTCCTGAAGCTTAGATAAAAGAGCTTCCACAACGAGGCATCTGCCTGTTGTGGAGCCCCAAGTACATGCAGTAGGGTGGCCTGGAACCATATTAAGTGTTTACACGCGCCAACGAGTTATAAATGAGACTGTCTAGTCCTTTCTGGTAAAGATCTGTATGACACTGAGGCATTCTCTAAAGAGGGACGTTGACATAGTCCTGAAATATTACAAGACCTAAACTATATCCTTGAGGTAATAACCCCTATAAAAGTTCGTTTTGATCAATCTCTGGTAATTCAGCTGAATGTGTAGCGACTGATCAGATTATCACTTACATATTTGGATAATCTGAGTTGAAAAAAAGAATCAACCCATGTGTGACACTACCGTCGTAATATTCTGCAAACATAATTATGGCTTTATGGCGGTCTTGATCGAGTGAAGCCGCTTTCACACAAGGTTACCAATAGTTGAATTTAATTGTGCGAGGTACGAGGACACAGATGCTCAATTGCCTATTTCCTACTCGTGCTGACCTTCCTTACCCAAATGACACCAGAAAGTGCCAGTGTCGCGGCTCCGCAAATGATCATAGTCTACGAGCCCAGTTCATCGCTTATTTACGAACAGCAAAACGATCTACTTACTCCTGCAAAAACGATTGGACGCCACCAAATGAAATCTCGAGTCAAAAGAGCGCCGGCAATTGGAGTACCTTTTCCTTAGTCTGAACAAACTTGTGTACAGATTGAATATTAGAACCTCACCAATAAAAGAGCCGACACCTGCAGGATGAATCGTCAGCAGGCACTTCTAAAACTTCATGCTGTAAAGTCGCACCAGTTAAAGTGAAACAGATACCCATACGAGTACTGGAACAACGTAAGCAACATCCTGCATGAATTCCTGCATCGGGCTCACCCAAGCTCCGACATATTACGACCAATCTGAGCAAGCATCGGCACAAGTAAAGAAATATCTTGTGTTAGTTCCTGGGTCAGTCTGGCCGAGTATCGGAATGCATAATTGATAAAATGCACTTACAGACGCCCGAGAAGAAGCCAAAGAATATAGCAAAAATTATTATGCTAGGGCCATCACGCGTAACGAGAAAGACATAGATGAGACCTCCTGTAACTGCTGTGCAGGGGACAATCATTTTGTACACGCCGACATAGTGTGCCGCCCAGTTCGGAACGATACGTCCAAATGCATTGGCAGCATTCAGTATCGTCAGCTACTCAGGATAAATTCATGGATTTTTTATTAAAAAGTAGCTTGAAAGAAAGGTGTACCGTGTAAAATGCAAGAGCAGGATTCACCCCATGACCAATTGCGTAAAGCTGCAGGAAGAAGATCGGGACGTATAAACCTATAATCACAAGTGTTGCTCTACAAGTTTCGGTTGTACTACTCGAACTGGTCATAATGGACAATGACCCACCCAGTTACTGCAAGAACAAAAGGAATATCTTTACTGGAGCGTTTGAGTATGGGCCAAAGAGGAGCTGAGGGTTTAGGCCGGAGCTTCGTCCTCATCAAAAGTGATGCCAATCCCATAAGAGCAAGATTCAAGCCAGCACTTGCCCTGACTCCATTAGCAAAGCCTGTTGGACCATGGAACAGGTTATTGAGCATTATTGGATGGACGATGCCTCCAACAGAAGTGCCTGATGCAACGATGCCAAGGGCGATTGTTCGACGGCGCTGGAAGTGATGAGCAATAACACCCATCGTTGGAATGTATGTCATTCCCATTGCGATTCCGAGTCCGAGTCCTTGGCTTAAAAAGACCTTCAAAATAATAAATAATACAACGGAGTAGAAGTTAGGCAGACGCTCGTACTTGATAGTAATTCTGCGGATGTGAAAGGGACAACATGAAGAGGCAAAAAGCAAAGAGAATAGTCCCAGATATTATCATATGGTAGCTTTACATTCTAAATCTCAGAAAATATCAAGTAGACTTAGTGGCACACTGGTTCACGCACAAGTAACCCCTATCAAAGGCCCTGCCAGTAAGTAAGCCGATTGATAAGAGCAAAAGAAGCTGTGTGCTGCCAATTAAGCTAAACATCCATCAGTCTAGCGATCCAAGTCTGGGGTTCAAGGGCGGGAGCAGGTGTAATAGTACCTTATGCTTGAGGAAGAAGAATTTATCAAAAACGTTCGAACGTAGAAATCTAGGCAAGTACAATATAAGCACTAGGCTTTTGAAAACGTTTCAAATGTGCACACTTACCTTGGTACACTCCAAATACATTGCAATACCTGATAGTCATAGTTAAAACAGATAAAAGAATCGTGGAGATGTTGCCCACCCGAACGTGGAAAACTGCATGAGCCATCTGAGGACAAGATGGCGATGAGAATAATAGGACATTGCATAGCATAGAATACGGATTGAAATTCACGCTCCAGCGACTGTTGCCCAAGCCTGAAGGCCTCCATCTGGAATGCATTGGGCTACATCTGAGGCGGATTCCAACTCTTCGGGACCCTTTTCGGTAGATGATGTCAACGCCGCCGAAGAAGATTCCGTGGCCGAGGCTACAACCCCAGTACATTCATTGCTCAGAGGTAAGCCAGTGCCGGAATGCATCGAGGCCTGCAAATGTCGTTATCGAGATGCGAAGAGCAGATCACCTTATAAGAGTTCGAGGTAGTAGTCAGGGTGATCGCCCCACTCCCGACAGATATGTACATATATTTGCCGCCATATCAGAAGGTTTCTTCACGTGCATTGCGTTCTATTCTATTTTTATAGATCGATGAACACGAAAACAAAGGAAAGTGTTATAGACTATTGCGTAGCTTACCTCTGTTGACGTTGTCGCGAATTACGGTGCCTCGTGAGACGTTCTGGCGATTCAACTTCAAGTTCAAGGGTGAGATAACGACAATAAATGTCATCGTTGCATCGTAGTATGTAATCTCGGATTACGTCATCTTGTTTGAGCGTTCCACCAAATCAGTATACACAAGTGACAACAACCAATAGGTGTCTTCAATTCATTGGCAGGAGCACTTGCAAGACGGTACAAAGATTTTGGGGTGTCTCGGCAAAGTAGTATGTACCTTAAATATTACTAAAAGTGGATGCAATTCCTGCAAGTGTCTGCAAGTGCTCGAACCCACTTGTTGGCACTTGCAGACGCTTCGGAGTTTGAAATGAAGTTGATGTTTGACGACAACCTAACAAAAATTACAAGTAACGTGACATAGACTGTAAATTGTTGACACATGGGGCATTTCACAATTCCTTACCTTAAAAAATAACTTACATAATGATAAAC